GGATTGGGGTGGCATTTTTGACCGTGCAACAATGATGTAATTTGTTTGAATGTTTCATTTTTGTTTGAATAAGGATACACATATCAGTTACACTACTTATTGTTGGGATTTTTGGTGGAAATTGAACAGTTATAACTTTTTGGGATATTTTGTGGATATTTTACTATTTTATTATATCAGGATGGAAATTATTTTGTTGATGAATGTATATTTTCATTTTGTTAATTTGTAAATGTTTGTTGATAAAGGTTAGGTTAAGTGTGATGGACTTGTTTTATCATTCAAAGGTTTTCAACATGACAGGGTTCAGTTTTGTTGAACTAAAATTTAGTGATTTTGATCAAATAGGTATATATTGGAAAAAAAATATTATGAAATTATTGACAAAATTTTTTCATACCCTACAGAAAGGGTTTACATAAAATACAACCTTTGTAGTTGGCCTCAGTTTAAATATACTGTGGCTGGATCTTGAGTCGTCTTATCTAAATATGTGAGTTTTGTCATAAATTCTTTATTTTCGTGCTACAATGAATTTGTCATGACAAAAAATATTGTAACATTTTGTCACTATTACCCTCAAATGTGTGACGAATTTTTTTGACATTATTTCATCATTTTTAAAAATGATAGAATTTGTTTTTATCTCTATTGGTAACTTCATATTGACAGACAAAAAATTTTCGTCTTCATTTATACTAATGTGACAAACTTATTTTGCTCATTTCTTATATTTAATGACAAAAATACCGTTTGGGTTCTCTAATTTTCTTTTTCTTTTTTAATGACAAAATAGTTTTGTCGTAATTTATTTATAAGTATGTTCCCAAATGAGTGGGATTGGAGCACTCAAAACAAAAAAAAGATAAAAGGATATATTAAAGTCATAAATACAGGAAAAGAAAATAAAAGATAACTATATATTAGAATATCCTAAAGGAGTTCCAGTGTGAAATGAAGGACTCTAGTTTTTTGAGGAAATGAGGGTTTGACAGTAAACTTGGGCGAATAATTTATGGATATATATTAAGATGCCACTATCAGCGACTGCCGACAAAAGTTTTGGTATTTTTATGTTTAGTAGGTCCTCTATATTGGTAGCTCTCTTAAATTATTCTTCTTTCTTTGAGCAAATTTTTTTTTTTGTCTTCATTTATATTAAACGTGAACAATTTTATTTCGTCTCTATTTCTTATATTTTATGACAATAGAACTGTTTGTCTCATAATTCTTTATATTCTCTTCTTTAATACAATATTCTTTGTCGCTAATTAACTTGCAATATGGTTCACAGATGTAATTTGGGACAAAAAAAAAAAAAAAAAATTCATGTCACAATTTATCATTTTTAAAATGATGAATTTTGTTTTTGTTCTCTTATTGGTAGCTTTCTTTGAAAAAAAATTTTTGTCTTCAGTTTTTTATTAACATGACAAAATTAACTTCTCGTTTTCTTATTTTTTCTTATATTTATGACGAAATACTTTTGTCTTCTAATTCTTCGTTATTGGACAAAAAATATTTTTGTCGCTAATTACTTAAAGTAATGTCCCACAAAGTGTATTGGAGACAAAAAAAAATTTCCCACGTTCTGTTATATCGTCTGCTGCAACAATTAGTTAATTTATCATTTTCATTTGACGAATTTTTTTTTTCGTCTCTAAGACCCTTAAGCGAAACGATCCTTTGGAGAACAAATGGGTCATCACGGAAAAATGTTCGTTACGTTCCGTAATTCGTTTGGGTGAACGAAATATATTACATTTTGGGACAGTAATTTGTATTTCGTCTTTAAATCCAAAGTTAGATAAAAATATAGTAGATGTGATTTATAAGGTGCACAATCAGAACTACAAAGATAGACTGCTCTTTTTTATTTCTTTTTTCGATGTGAAAGATTGTATTATTTTAACAGTCTTAAATATTATGAGAGTTATCAAAATCTCGATACAAATTTTTTTTAAAAAAAAATCAAAACGTCTATGTGAAGATGTAAAATAAAGTTAAAATGAAAAGATAACCAAATTGAAAGATTTTCAATACTTGTTTAAAGAATTAAAAAATAAAAAAACAATTGGTATTGATTATAGGGCTTCTCACTAAAATCTTCTTTTCGTTATATAAATGGGAGCTTTATATAAGTGAAATAATTCATTTTTTCTTCTTTTCTCGATGTTGGATTGTCAAATAAAGTTAAATGGAAGCTATCATTCATATAGAGATTTTCTTCAATTTATTTAAATAAGAAATTTCATAATTTATATACAATTGGAAGCATAAGATGTTACCTATGCAAATGAATACAATTCACTTTTCTTTTTATTTTTTGTCCTGAGTGGCGATTGTAAAATAAACGAGTAATGGAAGCTTAGCTAATGGAATTTTTCTTTATTGTTTAAAAATTAAGAAATTCAATAATTTTTAGAATAGAGTTTGGAGTTTCTAAATTTTTCTCCTCTAAAACTCTTTTATAAGATTCATTTTTAATATAGTGAAACGACTCATTTTCCTTCTTTTTTTTCCGATGCTGATGTAAATTTATATAAGTGAACAAACTACTGTCCGGCAGGGAGGTGTTGTGTGAGGTGCGAGGTTCTACTTGATCGATGATGCGGCTGTGGTCGCGCGAGTTGCGAGGATAAATAGTGCCGGGTGAGGGAGCGAGATTGGCGTGGGCAGATGAGTAGGAGGAGAGTTAGGCCGATTGGGCGTGGGCGGTCTCGCGGAGGATGGGTTGGCTCGTGCTGTATTGTGTGGCAGGTGTGCGATGTGATCCGAGGTGCAGTTGATTATAACGTTTTCGACAGCACAACAAAACACCCAGGTGGGCACCAGTCAAAAGACTTCCCCATAGCACTGGGGCTCTTTGAAAATAGTAATGCTCTACAATAAGAAATTTCAATCTCCATTAGGAAAAGAAGACAGCCGTCGCTTTTTCAAAATTTCTGGGAGTCTGAGTCAAAATGACACGAATCTGATAAGGGAATGGGCCTTTGGAGAAAACAAACTTTGGGCCAACTGCTCAGAACAAGCTTAAGCGCTCAAAAGTGGTTTTGGTCCAGTTGGGGGGACAATAAAGTTCACAAACTCCATTTCCGACTCTGCGGACGAGTGGTCGCGTCGAATGACAGCCAATAAAAAGCGTAGGTGGCTACAAGTCAAAAACTTTTTCCTTTAACTGGGGCTCTTGAATTATTGATGCTCTAATGTAAGAAAATTTAAATCTCCATCAGGAAAGAAGAAAGGAGTTGTCCTTTTTTTCAATTCTTGGGAGTCCCCAGTTTAAATGGTTCCTCGACTCCACCTGGAAAGTCGAAATGGGGGGTAGAGAAAAAAGCTCAAAAACCTTGGGCCCGCAATGCAGAAACAGGCTCATTGCCGCAAAGTGGTTGGTCTAGTTGGGGGCACCTAATAAAGTTCACATCCCAGCACGACGAAGTTCCTCAGCTCTCCTTCTCTGATCATCTTTTCTGGGTTGCCAGCATGACCATCGTCATTCCCCCACTGATGAGGATTCGTGAAAAAGTTAGGATTAGTAATCCCCTTTTTAGAAAATCGATGATTCGGTCTTATACAAAGCGAGGAAGGTAACAAAAAAGAAAGAAGATGAGTTTCTTCTTCTTTATCACTATGGACCGTGAGATGAGTCAATATGCAAAAAAATAAATTAAAAGTTTTAGTAATAAATCAATTATACAAAAGATTAAAAACATTAGTAACCCATCAATTTACAATTAAATCAATTATACAATTTATTCCTGTAACAGACTTTTTTTTAGATTATGAGAACAAAAAATTAATTTTAAGGCTAATTCACAAATGGTGCATCCCATTAATGTGCCGTAAGTTTATACAACTTATATTGGTCCCTCCTAAGGTGTTTCTATTGGTTCTTATACAAATCTGTAATTGTGTGAGACAGCCTTTAGTATAGAGAAAAATATATATTTTTTAGACTAATTTACAATTTATACATCATGTGCACCTGTACAAATTGGATGTCATATGCATGTTTCCATTACTTCCTAATTCTTCAAACTTGTATTCTTTTATAAAATTTGTTATATTAAAGTTAATATACTTTACCAAGAAGTACGTCCACCAGTGGATGAGTTCCCTCCACTTCCAAAGTGTCCAGTGAATCCTTTGGTCCTCAAAAAGTTGACAACATCTGCCATTATCTCCCCTTGCTTCTTCTTACCCTCTTCAAGATCTTCTATTTTATTGTTCTGCATTTGTATTTGTTCCTTTTGTGTCTCTATTTGCATCTCATGGTCAGTACCTAAGAGAAGGGTTGTTTCACACTTGGGCTTGGGGAATGGGTAGGAAGAACCTTCTTTGGGGTGAATAATCAGAGCACCGTAGACTGTGGCTCTCAGCCACGAGCATTGGGCATGCCACCAGAGTGTCCCTTCCTGGCCTTGAATTGTGAACAGATAAGTGTAGCTCTTTCCAGGTCTAATTGGGCACTGAGTCACAAATTCTAGGCCGTCAACCCATCCTATTCTCATTTGCCGAACACCACGCCTGAAGAAGAATAGAGTTAGTAAGTAGCATGGTTTTAAATGGTGGTATCAAGACATGTAATAGTATCGGTCACATTGTAATAATATCGAGAGTATCAAACAATATATAAAAGGAATATGATGACATAGCCCTGAATCTCTTAAAATCATAAAGAAACTCTCTAAAACTTAATGATGTGTGTTTTAAAACTGGCTACATATAGGAACATGAACACATGTCTCATGCACACAAGGTACCACATGTATTATTCTTCTTTTTTTCTCCTTTTAATTATGTCATTTAGGACCTGTTTTGATGCAGTTCTTTTATAAGTTAAGAAAATGGTAATCAAAAAGTGTAAATTAAAAACATTCATTTCTCTTTTTTAATTTATTTAAGTTATTCCTGTCAAATAAAATAAAATTATACATTGATTTAAATATATATATATATATATATATATAAGCCGCTTAAGTCTTAAATAAACTGCTCCAACCAGGATTTTTGAATAGGAAATTGATTAGATTAGATTAGATTAAAAACATTCATTTTTTTCTTTTTTGAAAAGAAAGATTAGACAAATGTAAAAAATCCAGTTCTTTTAAATCAATTTTCATCACATCACATGTATTCTTTCTTTCTTTTTTTCTTTTTTTTTTTCTTTTTTTAATTGTAGTACTAGAAAGCCAAGAAGTCATTTATAGAAGTTCAGTACTTCACTTGTGTAAGAGGTATAAAATTGCAAGTAAATGTAACTTTTTTTAGTAAGCCAAGTTGAACCAAATCTAACAATGCTGCTAAATGAAGCCTCATGAAAATTTTAAACGTTGACTTGACATGTGTACTTCAAGGTTCAATCATATACTTGATGATTAAGTAGCATTTGTCCTACTATTTTTTACTTAGTTGTGCTTAGGCCAAAGGTAAACATGTTCAAAGACCTATAGTGTTACACCAAGCTTCATGATGCACTAGGAATCAACTCAAACTTTTGCAAAGGACTTTCAAGTTCAAGTGCACATGAGGTAACAACAAAACCAATGTAGGACCGTTTAGATATAGAAATTCAAAAGACATAAATTTAGATGTATGCCTGTATGAATAAATAAGGTATATAGTATGGATATTACAATCACACGTTCAAATTTTATAGATTTCTGTCACCTAGATTTGAATTGTTTTTGGATCTCCGAAATGTGAATGCATTGAGGTTGTTTTAGATTGATTGGTCGGTTATTTATTCATACACTTTCTTGTTTTGATGCCAATTCAGTTATTCCAAATATTGAAGATCCAATTTTTGAAGCTTCAATGTATTTTGATTTTGATGAGCATAAAAATAAATTAAAAGTTTTAGTAATAAATCAATTATACAAAAGATTAAAAACATTAGTAACTCATCAATTTACAATTAGATCAATTATACAATTTATCCCTGTAACAGACTTTTTTTTAGATTATGAGAACAAAAAATTAATTTTAAGGCTAATTCACAAATGGTGCATCCCATTAATTTGCCGTAAGTTCATACAACTTATATTGGTCCCTCCTAAGGTGTTTCTATTGGTTCTTGTACAACTCTGTAATTGTGTGATAATTTAGCATTTCGACAGCCTTTTTTCAAGCTTTTAGTATAGAGAAAAAAATATATTTTTTAGACTAATTCACAATTTATACATCATGTGCACCTGTACAAATTGGATGTCATATGCATGTTTCCATTACTTCCTAATTCTTCAAACATGTATTCTTTTATAAAATTTGTTATATTAAAGTTAATATACTTTACCAAGAAGTATGTCCACTTGTGGATGAGTTCCCTCCACTTCCAAAGTGTCCAGTGAATCCTTTGGTCCTCAAAAAGTTGACAACATCAGCCATTGTCTCCCCTTGCTTCTTCTTACCCTCTTCAAGATCTTCTATTTTATTGTTCTGCATTTGTATTTGTTCCTTTTGTGTCTCTATTTGCATCTCATGGTCAGTACCTAAGAGAAGGGTTGTTTCACGCTTGGGCTTGGGGAATGGGTAGGAAGAACCTTCTTTGGGGTGAATAATCAGAGCACCGTAGACTGTGGCTCTCAGCCACGAGCATTGGGCATGGCACCAGAGTGTCCCTTCCTGGCCTTGAATTGTGAACAGATAAGTGTAGCTCTTTCCAGGTCTAATTGGGCACTGAGTCAAATTCTGGGCCATCAGCCCATCCTATTCTCATTTGCCGAACACCACGCCTGAAGAAGAATAGAGTTAGTAAGTAGCATGGTTTTAAATGGTGGTATCAAGACATGTAATAGTATCGGTCACATTGTAATAATATCGAGAGTATCAAACAATATATAAAAGGAATATGATGACATAGCCCTGAATCTCTTAAAATCATAAAGAAACTCTCTAAAACTTAATGATGTGTGTTTTAAAACTGGCTACATATAGGAACATGAACACATGTCTCATGCACACAAGGTACCACATGTATTATTCTTCTTTTTTTCTCCTTTTAATCATGTCATTTAGGACCTGTTTTGATGCAGTTCTTTTATAAGTTAAGAAAATGGTAATCAAAAAGTGTAAATTAAAAACATTCATTTCTCTTTTTTAATTTATTTAAGTTATTCCTGTCAAATAAAATAAAATTATACATTGATTTAAATATATATATATATATATATATATAAGCCGCTTAAGTCTTAAATAAACTGCTCCAACCAGGATTTTTGAATAGGAAATTGATTAGATTAGATTAGATTAAAAACATTCATTTTTTTCTTTTTTGAAAAGAAAGATTAGACAAATGTAAAAAATCCAGTTCTTTTAAATCAATTTTCATCACATCACATGCATTCTTTCTTTCTTTTTTTCTTTCTTTTTTTCTTTTTTTAATTGTAGTACTAGAAAGCCAAGAAGTCATTTATAGAAGTTCAGTACTTCACTTGTGTAAGAGGTATAAAATTGCAAGCAAATGTAACTTTTTTTAGTAAGCCAAGTTGAACCAAATCTAACAATGCTAACGTTGACTTGACATGTGTACTTCAAGGTTCAGTCATATACTTGATGATTAAGTAGCATTTGTCCTATTATTTTTTACTTAGTTGTGCTTAGGCCAAAGGTAAACATGTTCAAAGACCTATAGTGTTACACCAAGCTTCATGATGCACTAGGAATCAACTCAAACTTTTGCAAAGGACTTTCAAGTTCAAGTGCACATGAGGTAACAGCAAAACCAATGTAGGACCGTTTAGATATAGAAATTCAAAAGACATAAATTTAGATGTATGCCTGTATAAATAAATAAGGTATATAGTATGGATATTGCAATCACACGTTCAAATTTTATAGATTTCTATCACCTAGATTTGAATTGTTTTTGGATCTCCGAAATGTGAATGCATTGAGGTTGTTTTAGATTGATTGGTCAGTTATTTATTCATACACTTTCTTGTTTTGATGCCAATTCAGTTATTCCAGATATTGAAGATCCAATTTTTGAAGCTTCAATGTATTTTGATTTTGACAGTTTATTTTTTTTTTTTATTCAAATGTATTTTGATTTTGATGAGCATGATTTTAATTCCATGTTGGAAGATAAAAGTTGGATATTGTTTGTAATGGAAGTGAAACTTTTGTGGGTTTTGACAGATTTTAGTTTATTCAATCAAAGGAGGCTTTGGGTGTTGAAATCTAAGGTCAGCAATGGAGGATGAAAAGAAGAAAAAGTAAAACAAAGAAAAAGAAGAACAAGTAGAGTAAAACAACAGGTGATGTCACTGATGGCATTAGAGAATCAGCTAATGCAGATCAGAATCATGCCATTGAGCAGAATCATCGCAATCAACTTTTGGAGAGTGCAGATGTTCAAAATGATATGCAAAAAACAGATGTGGATCTGGATAGCTGCCATGCCAATGGTACTGAAGGAGTAAGTTTGGGTTAACTAAAATTACTTATTTCTCTAAACTCTGCTGAGTATCTTTTTGTTATGGCTCTCTGTTTTGGGGTTCTTTTTGTCATCATCTAGCAGCTGTTAATCTTTGGTTCCTTCTGCTAACTTTTGGTACTGGTATTAGCTGAAGCAGACAGAGAGGCAAGGGTATATAGTATGGATATTGCAATCACACCTAAAATACAGGCATACATAAATAAAAATCAATAAAATAGGTTTGCTAATTTTGAAGTAGAACACCAAAATTCAAAAGACATAAATTTAGATGTACATACAGAGTCGAATATATTATGCATAGATATATAAAACAATTAAGAATCAAATAGAATAAAAATACTTGATCAATTCACAAATGAAAAGGTTCGATTCAGATGTATTTATAGAGTGTGTGTGTGTGAGAGAGAGAGAGAGAGAGAGAGATTCATGTGACACCTACTTCTGCCTTCTGCTCCATGGCCTTGCAGAACTCAGCCTCCTGCTGTGCCACCTACTTCTGCTCCACGGCCTTGGAGAACTCAGCCCCATACAATAAGTGCATGATCACAACGTCATCGAGAACGAAGTTGAAATCCTTAGCACGACGAACCAAGCCCTGGCGAACCAATGCAGAGACGCTGGGACACTCGGTGAGGAGCTGATCGGCGTTGAATTGAACGACAACGGCCTTGAGGACTTCGTTGCCGATCGAAGGAAGGACTTTATCGTCGTATTCGAGGCCTAGGGTTTGGAAGATTCGAGGGAGTTGAGAGAACTCCGGGCGAGAGAGGACACGGAGGGTTAGGTTAACCATTTGGAGGTCCTTGGTGCCGGAGATGGAGGAGAAGATGTGGGGGCAAGTTTGGATGTCGAAGATGAAAGGGTTTTGGAGCCATGGGATGAGGGTTTGAGAGATTGAAAGAGAGAGGGATTTGTGAATAGCACGGATAATTATAAATATTTATATTTTTTTTAGATTTTTTTTAATATATAAATTATGTTGTTTTAAGATTTTTTATAAAAATAATTTAACAATCTTATCACTAATCATAATGTATGAGAAAAGTTGAAAAAGGTACTGCAGTAACTATTTACAGATTGTATCTATAATTATTTGTATGATGAGATTTTGAATGCTAATCAAGGGATTTTGACCAAATCAATAAATGCAGGCATGTGAATAGATATGTGGATTGAAAAAAGTTAATAAATGTTGATCATGGAATTTTGACCAAATCAATAAATGCTGTGTTTTTTTTTAATAAAAAATTTAGAAAATTCAAATTGGGATTATTTAGAACCATTGAACAAACTACAATCACATTTTTCTTTTTTGTGAGTGTTTATGTTTATCTAACTTCAATCATATTATAAAATAAAATTATAAACAAAAGGAAATAATTTCAATTATACAAATCACAATTTTTTTAATGCTATCTAATCATCATCAATAATTAAAACAACACAATAATTTATTTTTCAAAAAACATATAGTGAGTTAAAAAGATCAATTACAATTTTTTTTGGGTCAAAATAGTATCTAATTATCATCAATAATTGGTACATGATGTGACCCTAATGAGTATAATCCATTTTGTTTTTCAAAAAACACAGTGAGTTAAAAATCAAATCACAAATTAAGTGAATTGATAGTTAAAAAAATACAATAATTTTTTTTTTCAAAAAACACAGTGAGTTAAAAAAATCAATACAATTTTTTTTTCAAAATACAATATAATCATTATCAATAATTGGTACTTTAAAAATCAAATTAGAAAAAAATTAAATCAAATCACAAATATATTTATTCTATCTAACTAAAATCATATTTTTTTCATAAATAATTGTAAAGAAAAACCATTAAAACAGTAAATAAAATATTAAATCACATTAAAAAAAAAAGAACCATTGAACAAACTACAATCACATTACATTTTTTTCATAATAAAAAAAATAAATAAATGATAAAAAGAACCATTGACTAACTAAAATCACATTAAAAAAAAAAGCCATTGAACTAACTACAATCACATTTTTTTCTTTGTGAGTGTTTATGTTTATCTAACTTCAATCATATTAAAAATAAAAATAAAATAGTAAATAAAAAGATTAAATAACATTAACAAAAACCATTGAATTAACTACAACAGTTATATTAAAAAAAAAGAGCCATTGAACAAACTACAATCACATCACATTACAATCACATTTTTTTCTCTGTGAGTGTTTATGTTTATTTAACTTCAATCATATTAAAAATAAAATTAAAATAGTAAATAAAAAGATTAAATAACATTTAAAAAAAAAACCCATTGAACTAACTACAACAATCATATTAAAAAAAAGAGCTATTGAACAAACTACAATCACATTACATTTTTTCCATAATAAAATAAATAAATGAAAAAAAAAACTATTAAACTAACTACAATCACATTTAAAAAAAAAATCATTCAACTAATTATAATCACAATTTTCTCTTTGTGAGGGTTTATGCAGAAGTGAGAAATCAAGCAAAAGAAAATAAAAAGGAGACTCACTGTTTGCAATACGTATGTGAAAAGTTAAAAAGAGTATGTAAATTGGAGAAGTTAAAAAGACTTGAAAGAATTTAATAAGTGCTAAGTTTTTTTTTTCAAAAAAAATTAAAAATATTAAGAAATTAAGGTTCAGATATTGAAACTCCCACAAAACTTATGGATTAGAAATAGATATAAATAAATAGATAGATATAGATATAGATATTTATATTTGTTTCAAATTTTTTTTAATATAAATTAGATCAATTATACAATTTATCCCTGTAACAGACTTTTTTTTAGATTATGAGAACAAAAAATTAATTTTAAGGCTAATTCACAAATGGTGCATCCCATTAATGTGCCGTAAGTTCATACAACTTATATTGGTCCCTCCTAAGGTGTTTCTATTGGTTCTTATACAAATCTGTAATTGTGTGATAATTTAGCATTTCGACAGCCTTTAGTATAGAGAAAAAAATATATTTTTTAGACTAATTCACAATTTATACATCATGTGCACCTGTACAAATTGGATGGCATATGCATGTTTCCATTACTTCCTAATTCTTCAAACATGTATTCTTTTATAAAAGTTGTTATATTAAAGTTAATATACTTTACCAAGAAGTACGTCCACTTGTGGATGAGTTCCCTCCACTTCCAAAGTGTCCAGTGAATCCTTTGGTCCTCAAAAAGTTGACAACATCTGCCATTATCTCCCCTTGCTTCTTCTTACCCTCTTCAAGATCTTCTATTTTATTGTTCTGCATTTGTATTTGTTCCTTTTGTGTCTCTATTTGCATCTCATGGTCAGTACCTAAGAGAAGGGTTGTTTCACGCTTGGGCTTGGGGAATGGGTAGGAAGAACCTTCTTTGGGGTGAATAATCAGAGCACCGTAGACTGTGGCTCTCAGCCACGAGCATTGGGCATGCCACCAGAGTGTCCCTTCCTGGCCTTGAATTGTGAACAGATAAGTGTAGCTCTTTCCAGGTCTAATTGGGCACTGAGTCGCAAATTCTGGGCCGTCAGCCCATCCTATTCTCATTTGCCGAACACCACGCCTGAAGAAGAATAGAGTTAGTAAGTAGCATGGTTTTAAATGGTGGTATCAAGACATGTAATAGTATCGGTCACATTGTAATAATATCGAGAGTATCAAACAATATATAAAAGGAATATGATGACATAGCCCTGAATCTCTTAAAATCATAAAGAAACTCTCTAAAACTTAATGATGTGTGTTTTAAAACTGGCTACATATAGGAACATGAACACATGTCTCATGCACACAAGGTACCACATGTATTATTCTTCTTTTTTTCTCCTTTTAATCATGTCATTTAGGACCTGTTTTGATGCAGTTCTTTTATAAGTTAAGAAAATGGTAATCAAAAAGTGTAAATTAAAAACATTCATTTCTCTTTTTTAATTTATTTAAGTTATTGATTTTTGAATAGGAAATTGATTAGATTAGATTAGATTAAAAACATTCATTTTTTTCTTTTTTGAAAAGAAAGATTAGACAAATGTAAAAAATCCAGTTCTTTTAAATCAATTTTCATCACATCACATGTATTCTTTCTTTCTTTTTTTCTTTCTTTTTTTCTTTTTTTAATTGTAGTACTAGAAAGCCAAGAAGTCATTTATAGAAGTTCAGTACTTCACTTGTGTAAGAGGTATAAAATTGCAAGCAAATGTAACTTTTTTTAGTAAGCCAAGTTGAACCAAATCTAACAATGCTGCTAAATGAAACCTCATGAAAATTTTAAACGTTGACTTGACATGTGTACTTCAAGGTTCAGTCATATACTTGATGATTAAGTAGCATTTGTCCTATTATTTTTTACTTAGTTGTGCTTAGGCCAAAGGTAAACATGTTCAAAGACCTATAGTGTTACACCAAGCTTCATGATGCACTAGGAATCAACTCAAACTTTTGCAAAGGACTTTCAAGTTCAAGTGCACATGAGGTAACAGCAAAACCAATGTAGGACCGTTTAGATATAGAAATTCAAAAGACATAAATTTAGATGTATGCCTGTATGAATAAATAAGGTATATAGTATGGATATTGCAATCACACGTTCAAATTTTATAGATTTCTATCACCTAGATTTGAATTGTTTTTGGATCTCCGAAATGTGAATGCATTGAGGTTGTTTTAGATTGATTGGTCAGTTATTTATTCATACACTTTCTTGTTTTGATGCCAATTCAGTTATTCCAAATATTGAAGATCCAATTTTTGAAGCTTCAAGCATGATTTTAATTCCATGTTGGAAGTAAGAAAGTTGGGATATTGTTTGTAATGGAAGTGAAACTTTTGGTGGGTTTTGACAGATTTTGCATCACTAAAACATGTATATTTGGAGACGAACTATTTTTTCGTCACGCGTTTTTGTCACCATAGACCTTTTTTGTTGTAGTGCCTCTTGCATGATGGCAGATTTGTAATTATGGTGTTACTTGCCGTTTCTCGTCCATTAGGATTCGATCACTCGAACACGTATTCAGACCCTCTTGCATGATTCCAGATATGTAATTATGGTATTTACTTGCCATTTCTCATGCATTAAGGTTTAAACACTCCGAAACTTATTCGGACCCTCTTGCATGATTACAGATATGCAGTTATGGTGTTTACTTGCCATTTCTGATGCATTAGCGTTCGAACACACGGACACTTATTCGGACCCTCTTGCATGACGGCAGATATGTAATTATGGTGTTTACTTGTCGTTTCTCGTGCTTTAGGATTCGAACACTAGGACAAGTGTTTAGACCCTTTTGCATGATGCCAGATATGTAATTATGGTATTTACTTGCCATTTCTCTTGCATTAAGGTTTAAACACTCGGAAACTTATTCGGACCCTCTTGCATTATGGCAGATATGCAGTAATGGTGTTTACTTTCCATTTCTCATGCATTAGGGTTCGAACACTCAGACACTTATTCAACAACCCTCATGGCAGTAGGACTACAGGGATATGGAAAAATTTGTCAGTCTTTTAAGGCCTGGTGAGCCATCTATTCAAACTTCTGTTACAGTAATTGAACTTTGATGCTGATGTAGTTTCACATTATGTATATATAGGATGCACTCCAAAATCTTGTGAAAGTGAATCAATAAAAAGATACACAAATACAAATACAAGAAAAAGATTGCTAAGTTTGCATTAAAGATAATGTGCTTCTTAGGTACGTAGAGATGAGAGGTTGCCTTCAGCTTTGAGGCAGCTCCCTGTTCCTGGTTCTCAAGCCTCAGCAGATGAGCAAATAAAACTGTATCAGATGGCAAGCGGGGTTTTGAGGAGAAAGGAGCCTGATGGTGGGTGGGATGGAGATAGGATTAGCTACAAACAACCCTCATGGCAGTAGGACTACAGGGATATGGAAAAATTTGTCAGTCTTTTAAGGCCTGGTGAGCCATCTATTC